CTTACATTTCTCTGAACACACACACACACACACACACACACACACACACACACACACACACACACACACACACACACACAGGTCAGAAACACCACACACACACACCATCCTCAGTTAAAACTCCTACAGAAAACGCTAACCGTTCAGTATTGTTAGTTAGGGTTATGTGGTGTGTGTTTGAGAAAAGTTGCAGAGGCGCGGGCCCGCTGATAAACAGTAGTCACGTGATACTGATCGTGTTCGTAAACAAACTAATGAAAGCAAAAATCCTCGAAACCCGGAGCAGAAACGCCGCTTTATCCGCGTTTACACACATTCACGCGCTCATTATAAGCGGATGAACAAACGCCTGACGAAGCTTCGACGCGTCTAACAGCCTCGCGTCGAATAAAACACTTCAGTTCAGATAAACATGTCGATAAACCGGATCGCGTCTCTGCAGTCCGTGTCCCGGTCCGACAGGCGACACTGGCCTCGATTTTACCTTTCGTTGATCGTGACGCGCGTGTAACGCCATCGATGACTGCTGTTTTTGTAAACAAAGAAGCACATGGCCCCGAGCCGCACCGTAGCCGCGCGCTTCCGCGATCACTCCGCGTTGGACAAACTAGTGCCGTGCAAAAAACACGGATAACCCTAAACTAACACCAACCCGAACCTAGCCCTGACCCAACTCTGTTAGCGGACCGCGCCGAGGCTCTGGGGTGGGTTCGGGTCGCTCGGTTAATTACGCAATCAATGAAACTTTCACACCGTGCTTTAAGGCTTTAACATGCACGTACATTACAGCACCGGCCACCCGCGTGCAGGCGAGAACACCCCGGCACAGATCTGCTCTTATTGCTAACGGATAACAAGCGCGTGAACTCTGAATCAAGCACGTGCTTTCCGCGCGCCGCCGCTCTTTGTCCAGAAGCTCCATCCGGGAACTGCGGAGAGCGCGCGAAACTCACGAAACAGCAGTCTATCGGTGGAGCCGCGGTTACCGACACATAGAGCAGAGTAAACCCGCTGTTACCGACACACAGAGCAGAGTAAACCCGCTGTTACCGACACACAGAGCAGAGTAAACCCGCTGTTACCGACACAAGGCAGTGTAAAGCCGCTGTAAAGTGCAGCACACGGGCGGACACACACATCAGTATAGCTGTTCATGATCCGCGGGCCGCAGTTTATTGAGTGACGCGCAACTTTGACAGAAGCGCGCAAACTAACGCTATGCTCGGTCCCGCTTGGTCTCCGGACCCATACTCACCTTTCTCCGCCGTATAATCCTTCGGGGCCATCTTTATCCCGGAGATGAAGCGCAGGAAGACTCTAGATTACAGAGGGAATTCTCCGCCCGAAGACTGAAGCACAGACACTCGAGTGTGGCTGCAAAAACTGGCGCGAGTCTGTCCGGGCTCTCCACCAATGAGAGCGGCTTAGCGTGCAGCGTCTAGGCGGGGCTCGTCGTATGGCGCGAGAATCTGGTGTCACGTGAACGGAAAGAACATTTTAACTCTTTAAACGGCGGTAAAACAACGTGACGTCACAACAAAGAAGTTAAAAACATCCGCCGCGGCAGAGGAAGTGTTGCGCGGGAAACTCCCAAGACGAACTATTAATTGAGAAAGAACGACAGAAACTGTAATGGCCGGAGCTGCTGCGGGGACAGCTAGAGCTCAGAGGGCAGGAACAGCAGATGTGTGCGTGTGCCATCCCCTGATCAGACTGGAGGAACAGGATCAGTGCTGCTGTCTGCTTAAACACACACACACACACACAGCTCAGTGAAATCTGCTGGTGTAGAAACACAATGACAAGAGACAGAGGGGAGTAACTGTGCTTTATTTACTTCAATCAGAACACTCAGTGAACCTGCCCTGAACACACACACACGCGCGCACAGCTGAACAGGTGAACACTGCACAAACGCTGCCATAAACACACTGAAGCTCCAGCAGCGTTACACAAACAGATCCTCCAGGAAACTCGTGGAGCCGTGAGTGGACGGCTGTGGGGGACACAGAAGAAGATGAGGATGATGAAGATAGAGATGAGGATGGTGATGAAGATGACTCTACTTGTCATGAACCTGCTGAAACTCACCAAAGTGATGCCGGTCTCTGAGTCTTCATCACTGTAATCTGCAATATCATCATCATCCTCATCTGAGCCATCGCCATGGCCCAGAGAGAGTCTGAACACACACACACACACACACCCACACACACACACACACACCCATCAGTGATGGCAGAATGCTGACTTTCGGACATGTCTAATTATAATAGGGTTCGAGAACTACACACACACACACACACACTCACACACACACACACACACTCACGTGCCGAGATGAGACTGAAGGCTCTGAGAGAGCGGGCTGGACTGTGGACGACTGACACTCTTCATGTGAACGGGCCTGCAGAGAGAGAGGGTGAAGAGTGAGTGTGTGTGAGGATGTGTGTGTGTTGTGCATTGGGTTATAAGTGTGTATCAACAGTAAAGTGATGAACCTGTCTGTGAACTCGTCGTCAGTGTCGTGGTGTGTGTGTGAAATCACAGCCGGCGTCTCCAAACCTGCACACAAACACAAATATTTTAACACACCATCCGCATGAGTGTGTGTGTGTGTGTGTGTGTGTGTACTGACTGTGTGTGCGTCTGCGTTTGCTGACGGGGGCTTCAGAGGTTTTTGCTGTTTCTTTGGATCCTGAATTCAGAGATCGCTCATACATCCTCACAGAGCTGTTGTTCAGCACAGAGGAACACACACGCCGCAGAATCATCAGCCTACACACACACACAGGTCATGTCAGCACAGGTGAATGTTGTCGGTGGTCATTACTGACGGCTGTGGGAGATTAATAAAGTGTGTGTGAGAAAACAAAGCAAAACTGCAGACAGCAAGATCTTACACACACACACCTGAAATGAAGAGTCGGTCATAAACACACACACACACACTCGTGAGCTGAAGATGGTCAGATGGGTTATCATGTTAATCTTACTGAATACACTCGTCAATAATGTGATGTGGATGTATGTGTAGAGAGGCTGACCCATCCGTCTGAATAACCAAACTACTGTTAGCTGATCTCCTGCTGCTGTCTCTCCTCAGCTTGCGTCTCTGCATTTTGAGTTTCAGCATGTGATTGAGTTCATCTGCTGAATGTGCTGTTATGAATATGAAGGTTCTAGAAGCAGAATCTCATAACTAATAGAGCTGTACATGTGATCCATTATTTACAAACATCATTTACTGTCTGAAAACTCCTAATGAACATTCAAGTGAAGGTACATTCCTCTCCCCCAGATATTAAGGCATCGAATAAACCAAATGAAAACACAGGCAAAGATATAATAATCAATATAGAAGCGCTGTGCAGCAGCTGACACCCCGGCCTGTCTCAGTAGAGTATGGATGCTGCTCAGTGTACTGTACACATTGATCAGGGTTATTGTGTACAGTGCAGGGATGTGGCAGGGTGTACAGCGGTGCATGCAGTGTATGCTCTGGGTCCTGTTGATTATTAGTTAAGAATATAAACGTTTGTGTTGTTTATGTTATTGTTCATATTTTACACGTTATTTGAAGACGATAAATACCAGCATCCCTGTTAGAAGAGGAATATGTTTTGTGCTGATCTCAGGCTGGAGTGTGTGAGAGAGGCTTTATTCTGCAGTCCAGCATATACTCACATCACAGTCTTTAATAATTCATGTATTATTACGTGTTTTTAAATGTAAGTGCTGATATATTTATTAATGAGGCTGTGTTATAGTGCGATACGGCCGCTCAGATGAGCAGTTCGGGGGCGTGGTTAATTTGATGTACAAGCGTTTGATTGGAAGCTTGATTCCATGGCTCCGCCTCTGGCTCCATCAGGAAGTCTTTCTGCACATGCCCAGACTCTTTCTGCACCGTTTTGCGACAGTTTGTGCGTTCGATGGGAAAGGCGCCGTCACGTCATCCGTTTTATTTAGTCAATGGGGGGTCAATCAAAGAGTCAATGAAGTGAGTGAACCAGTGAGTTGAGGTGCATCCCAAATCACACACTTGCGCACTATTCACCCCCATTTTGTAGTATAAACAGTGTAAATAAATAATGTTCTCACTGAGAACTGTAGAGGTGCAGTAGGTGATCTCTCACAATGATAACCGCTCAGCATAATGTCTTTAAAACACAGTCCCACCCCTGCCGTCCAAAGCCACGCCTCCTGAAATCACGAACACGGGCCGTCAAGATGACAGAGAGCCACTAGATCATGTCATCGACCTGTAAGAGAACTCTACAGTACTTTATAATTCTACAGTTAACAATGAGAAACAGTGTTATATCAGCAGAACTCGTCATGATGGTCAATATTTCCTGCATGCAGGATCGCTGCTCTCACACGCGGTGCTAAAGACACTACTGTCTGCTGAGTGTTCGGCCGGCGGCGTGCAGCACTGAGCCACACTGACATGCTGTTTCAGAGTGAATATTCAGAGCAGCGGTGAACAATATCAGGCTGTCAGTGTCCAGAAATGAGCCAGTGTGAATATAACAAGGGGAACAGCGCTGTCTACTGATGTTCTGCTGTTCAACTGAATATACATCTACATCATCTGCTGGAAATGAAGCCACATCAGTCTACCAGCAGGAGATTTGAGCGGCTGAACAACACTGCTGTGCAGATAACCCTTCACACACTCAACAGCCGCGGCTGTGCTCATGTAGCGGAAGGTGCGGAGCTATCGGGCACATGCTGGATTCATGTATTTGCTCTGGGTTGTGAGAGCATGTTCTCCTACAGGAGTGGTTATAGCGCCTCCTGATGGTGATGCGGTTATACTCAGGGCAGGTGTTATTGGGTGGTTTGGTCATTTATTTCACTACATCAGGAACCGTCAGACGTCATCAGGGGAATAGTTAAGTAAAATAATCAGTAGTGTTGCATCTGGGACGACACTACATACATAATCTCTGCTGCTGAGTGTGCAGTGTATAGTGTGCCATTTGGGACACCGCTTCAGTGGGTCAGATACTCACAGCTGCTTGCGTTCGGGCTGCAGGAGCTTGAAACTGAACTCACTCAGAATCTCCAGAAACTGCAGGTTCATCGCTTCACCCTTCTCAAGCCCTTGACTAGCAAAACGAATGCCATCCCTACACAAACAGAGCAGAAACAATGAGGACGTGAGTCTGTATGTGTGTGTGTGTGTGTGTGTGTGTGTGTGAACACGCACTGGTGTAAGGACAGCAGCGGTTTGCGCACGAGACGAAGGTTAATGCTGAAGTTCATGGCCAGTTTCTTCGCCAGCAAACGGATCTCCATCAGCTCTCCATCACAACACTGCAGATCCAGCCCAGCGTACAGCTGCACACACACACACACACACACACACACAATGAACAGAGACATGATAAACACAAAAACACAAATGAAAACACACACACACACACACACCTGCTGCAGGCACAAGCAGACGGTTCTGGCACTGTCCTCTGAGTTGATCATCTTGGATTTGTTGAGAGTTTCTTTAATAATGTCACCGAAATCCTTGTAGAACTATAACACACACACACACACACACACACACACACACACACACACACACACACACACACACACACATTTTTTTGAAAAGAAGACTCCATTAATTGTCCACATGTACAGAACAGGGTGTGTGTGGTGTTGTGTTTCTCTCGTCATCAGGGTATGAGTGAGGCGTCAGTCCTGCAAGAGAATCAACATCATGGCTGGATTATTGAACTGATGTGTTTAAATCAGCACTGATGATTATTGCAGCCGCCACTGGATGCTGATGATGAAGATGATGATGATGATGATGATGTCCTGCAGCACTGCTGGCGGCTCCGTCACTAATGCAGCATTCACCCTCATCAGGCGACACTCTAGTGCTGTACTCACACACTCAGAGCAGCACCAAACACACAGATATCAGCCTGTAGGGGTCGCTCTCGCCACAGTATGATGACAGACCAT